AGAAGTTGTTTCTCAACATATTTTTTGTAATTATTTTTGGGTATATATTGACCGTTTTCAAAAGATGAAAACGCGTCGGGTACAAGTTTACGAGTTGTTTATCGGTACCATAAAAACCATATTTTTTGTAATTATTTTTAGATGTATATTATATTAATTATATGGTGCCACCGTATAGAAAATTTTCTGGGTCCGTCCCTGCCATCCCCTGACTCTTTTTCATTGATAAAGCTCCCCAAACACCCCCATCCCCCTTCTTCTTCCTAGGACATAAACTCCATTACTCCATCACCACCAACTTACTCTTACCGACAGGAACTTCATCACTCCACCACCACCAGCTTCCCTAAAATCTGTCCACTTGATTTTCAGAGAGAAGCTGAAAAAATCACGAAAAGAGATGTAATTTACACGAAAAAGATCTCACCCTCTCTTTTCTTTTGCATAGGAAGAGAGAAAACAACAAAAGATGCAAAATTAAAGAAAGATATTATACCATTTACAACCAACAAACATCATAGAGCTTCTGGCAGTTATGGGATCTTCAATTGCAGAAGACACAAACGTAGAGGAAAACATTAGAGGAACACAAAGAGTTCAAGCCAAATTTTGTATCTTCTTATTATGGGTTTTAGAGAGATAAGTATGACGAGACAAAGAAAAACAAATTGTTTTTTGACTACAGAGTTCAGATAGACAACTTCCTTGCCAAATCCTTCTTTCATGCCATGATCAAGCATATCAAACTCTCCCCTTCTCTGCTTCTCGGTACACATACATATATAGCAGAAAGTTGGATCATGGAAAGCAATGGTTTGTGGCCCTCCCAAATCTTTGTACTTGTGTGTGGGTGTACTAGAGAAGTGGTTGGAAAATGAATCCGTATAAGCGGGGGATAGATGATTCGTCGGACAAGCATAGGGAGTGGGACGATTGTATGTATATGATGTATGCATATATGAAATATATTGTAACACCCTAAATCTATATATATATATATATATATATATATAGAAAAAGAAAATTAGGATCGGAAAAAAACATAGCGGAAACTAGAGTTTAACAAAGATTCATCCAACAAAGGGAAGAAACATAGCGTTTACAAAACATCTAACGAGAAGATAGATAACAATCTATTAATCTAAACAATTCTATGTTTAGATTAAGACCGGGTGTTTCCACCAACTCCAACAAAATACGAAATCAACCGATATTGCAACGCTCGAAGCACCAAGTGTTTCAACTACAAAAATGACTTCTATGACAACAATCTCCTCATCCCTTTGATACCCCGCCGCTAAGGGAACCTGATAAGCATGACAATTGAAGAAGAGGTGTTAGGCTTACGCCTAGTGAGTTCAAATGGTATAATAAATGCATCTAAGAAGAGCTTTTGAGTAAATATATATATATATATATATATATATATTTAAAAAGACGTAACTCAAAATAGTTTAAGGGGAACGGTAAGTCCAAAGTGTAACATGGTGGGGCCACAACATCCGAAGATGACGGGAGAGACCCGATTTCCGTTATTTATGACGAAACACGAAGTAAGTCATAGATCAATGTTATAGAGCATCACTTACGGGTATAAATACCATCGACATCAACCTAAACCAGTCATGTAGTCGGTCGTGATCTTAATCCTTTTATCTCGGAAATTACATAATAATCGCAATGCCTATTTCCGAGTGGGTGAGAAGATGGTTTGGAGATTACATAATAATCACAATGTCTATTTCCAACTTACACCATCATTCACAAATTATACAATGAACGACACTCAAGCCTAAAAACTCAATACAAATTAGTGCTAAACTTGAATACGGTACCGTAAGCATTTTTGCGCTTATTTATCAATAAGATTTCTTTCATGTGTCCAAACTCAAACAAAATATACCCACTTTGCCAATAAAGGACTCCCAACTAAGAACATGAATATTTTAGAGTTAAATGACCAACAACGCTTTGAAATGGGTACTTTACCAAGTGATCGAGAGCATTTACCCAAACTCAACCTATCATTATAAATGGGATCACCCAAGTTCGCTCCTTAGACCTAAAAATCTTCATTTCATTTAACAAGTAAAAACATGGCATTTAGGCATATGGTAAGTAAAATGTCTCATTTCTATTAGTATAAAGTTCCAAGAAAGAAATAACATGAACTCACCTTGGAGGGTTAGAGGAAGTCCCAAAATCTGGAACAAATAGGCAGCCAGAAGGAAGACCGAAAACAGGGTGGTTGCACTTCTATACCACGGGACAACAGTAGAAGGATGCTAAGAGGAACGACGACTCAGGTGCAAGATAATGAAACGGCACAACAGTGCCTGCTGTCCTTCGCTGCACGGCAGCGCCTGCTGCCTGAGAGGCACGGTAGAACCTGCTATCGATTGCCGGGGGGGGGGGGGGAATGGAGGTGCGGTGCAGCGGCCCTTCGAGCTAGACAGAATCGGCGCCTTGTTTGGCCCAACCGGCCGCTACCAAACAGCAGCCATTTCCGTCCTATGCGCGACCAAATAGCGGCTGACTTGCCTCTTCTTCCTCTTGTTGTTCGGTCAAACAGCAGCCCTCTGTTCTTCTCTCTCTCTAGTTTGTGTACCCGTTCAATGCGTCGGGAGCCATAAATTTTAACGATTTTGAAGTTCCATTGGTTTTATAAGATAAGATTTAACGATGATATAACTTATACTTGGTCTTTACATATTAATACACTTTGAATAAATAAGAGTTATGGTTCCAATTACAGATTATCGATGAAAAAAATTGTATGACAGTTTAAAATCCAATATATTTAAAATCCAACATATTTAAACGACTCCACAAATGTATTTGATTTACACCAAGAGCAAAGAACCAAGAAACTTGAGTTTTAAGATAAACACTCAAAACCAATAAAGAAAACTACAAATTTGACAGATCATAAGCCATGAAAAGACAAAAGAAGATGAGTTTTAGAATGAAATTTCAACTGCTTACCCTCTTTCTTGTCCAGAAACTCAGATTAAGGTTGAATTAATACATGTGTGTGTGTATATATATATATATATATATATATTTCAAAAAAACCCAAAAACATATTAATTCAAAACATATTATACAGTGCAATTTGGACAGCCTAACCCCAAAATATATAGTATATATATAAATAAATAACTATAAAAGTATAAATCGTAAATATTAAAAATATTTTTTCACATTATTATATATATGATATATAATAATATAATTAAGTCATAAACTATTCAATATTAAACTCATTTCGAAGGTATTAACGAGACGATTATAATGGTGTAACTTGTTAAAATAAAAATGTATTTTTTAAACATGTTTTAATTGATATACGATTATGTATGTTAATTTGATAAAAGTTTAAAATGAAACATTTAAAAGTAAAGGACGTAAAATTAATTAATTAATTAATTATAAGGGTATAAAATGTAAATTTAAAATTATAATTTTAAAAAAATTGGTTGTGAGAGGATGAGTGTATGTGAGAAGAGATGAGAGTGAAAAAGTGAAAAAATGAAAAAGTGAAAAAGTAAGCATAAAGGGTATTTTGGTCATTTAGAATTTTAAGACTTTAAGACTTTTGCTAAATTTGCTTAATAAGATAGTATAGATATTAACTTATATACATATACTCCTGTATATTTCACAAAGGAGGATTTTATACAGAGTTTTTTAAACACGGATAAGTAACTGAAAACACATACCTTAAATAAATCTTATCTTCTCTTTCTTTTTCTTTTAAAACGCGTACAGACCTGGAAAAAAGGGAAAATTTCCAGGTGTTACATATATATCATATAATAATTGTATCAGTAATATAACACACAGACACACACACACACATACATACATATATATATATATATATATATATATATATAAAGAAAATTAGTAACACAAATAAAAAGACAACCATGCCTCTCTTTTTAACAGAGTAAGTGATCAAAGACCACTTTCAGAACAAAGTATAAATCAAAAGGATGTTTTCTAGACTTATCAAAGTTCAGGTTCTATTTTTAGACTTTTCAAATATACCTCTAAGTACCAAAATTAGAGTTCACTCTTTAAAAAAAATTATTGATAATATTTTTTTTATTTAAATTATTTTAAATTCAATAAGATTTTAATTAAATGACTTGAAATCATTCAATCTTTCATATATCTTCAAATTATATCAGTCTTTTATATATCTATATTATTTTGATAAAAAATTAATCATCGATAACTCCAAACTGGCTCCATACAACCCTCCCTCCAAAAACACTAATTTGAGGGGCATTTTTGAATCACTCAACGCCAGATGCTAGCGGGTCTTAGAACAAACCCATGACATGTCTTGTATTTGGACAAAGTCATCTCATCCATCTATCAACTGAGCTAAGAGCTTTTATATATCTGTATTATTATAAAATATTTGATAAAAATATTTTTAAAACATATTATTAAGGGGTTGTTTGTTTACCTCTCAATAGTTTCATTAAGAGGCAACATCTGAATCGTTTAGAGGTAAATCTTGTTTAAAAAAAAAAATTAATTGTTCTAAAACCATCTGAATGATTTTGTATCATGAGTCTCCCTTAACCATTCAACGCCCTAATTTCATTGTAAACGATTAACTAACAATTATATTTCATTTTGTACCATATCATGAAAGCCTCTTAATTATTCTGATCACTTAATTATGTACACAAAACCATTCAACAACCGTTAAACAACCTCTACGTAAAACTATTATGTAATAATTAAAGATTCAAATTTACAAGTTATTAAAATATAAGTATAATCTTTTAAACATCTATAAAACTAACAAACAAAGTGACAAACACTAACTAGTAGGGCTGTAAACGAACCGAACGAACACGAACGGAGGCTTGTTCATGTTCGTTCGTTTAACTTAACCGAACAAACGAACRAACACGAACGGTAAACGAACGAAAATATTTGTGTTCGTGTTCGTTCGTTTAGAAATAAAGTGTGTTTGTGTTCGTTTATGTTCGTTCGTTAACATGCTAAACGAACGAACATAAACGAACAGACTAAACGAACATAAACGAACAGGTTAAACGAACATAAATAATATTATTTGAATTAAAAATAAATAAAATAAAAGATTATATATTAAATTTAATATATAAACGAACATAAACGAACAAATATAAACGAACGTAAACGAACGTAAACGAACGATAAATAAACGAACGTCCACGAACATAAATGAACGAACGAGACTCTTGTTCATGTTCGTTCGTTTAACTAAACGAACAAAAAAATTTGTTCATGTTCGTTCATTTATTAAATAAACGAACATAAACGAACTTCCCGCCGAACGGTTCACGAACGGTTCACGAACGGTTCGCTGAACGTTCGGTTCGTTTACAGCCCTACTAACTAGTAAAAAAAAATCATAAATCCTTACTAATACTTTACATTATCTCTATTCTAAATTACAATAAAACAAAAATAATTTAAGGTCTTATTTTATAAATATTTTAATTATAAGAAAACCTTGAATTAAAAAAATTACGAAAAAGTAATAATTTTTTAATCTTAATACATATATCGATATATTTATTTATGACTTGTTGGTTATTGGATCTTCAAAATAATACCACTTTTCTTTTTTTTAAAGAATAAATTAACAGATATATGATTAAATTCAAGGATGAATAAACATCCTCTTATGGCCATGGAGATTTAAATGCGGTAACTCCATACTATCTGCAAAGCAGGTGGCCGTCTTGAAATTAGTCGGCTCGTATAGCAGGTTAGATATCCAAATTAATAATAATAAAAAATTAACGGATATGATCAAAAGATGGAGTCAAATAAAAGTACAAGAGAAGGTGATAAATTCTGTAAAAGGCAGGTAAACGAATGTTTATATGCAACTACCATTTAAATAGTTGTTTGTTATTTGTCTTTTTGAGTCCATTCTTTTATTCTGAAACCTGACCAAAATAACCCTATAAATTACATTTTTAATCCTTTAAATTTACAAATTTAAAAATCTAATCATCATTTACTTTTTTAGCACCAAACGGTGGTAAAGGGACTAAACTGTAAAAAAAAACTTTGTTTGACCATGACTTGACCAGTTGACATTCAAGTGACCGATGTGACTTGACCATGTGACCACCCTTACGTATTGGTCCGTCGGTGCGCGGTGCATAAGGGCACCTCCCCATGGCATTTTTGTTTTTGTTTTTTCACACACTATACATATATCCGGTTTTTCTAAATTTATCGATATATACGTACCAATTCATTGTTTACAAAAAAATTATCTTCTCCAAATTTTTAAGTATCAATGTCTGTGATTGAGAAATTATCTCTGCAATGCTCTCAAAATTGTATTTAAAATTTTAATACTTGATTTATGTTAACAAATGCTTCATAATAACCCCCTGATAAATATAGTATAAAGAGTTTACAAAAACATCATATAAAGAATACATTGTAAAAATAAGATTATATTAGAATTAATACATTGTAAAAATGAGATTATATAAAAAAATATTTAAAATTAATATAAGTAAATTTACCATGATGTCGATTAAATTTCGGTAATGGAGATTGTACTATTGTAAATGGAAATTGTATTTAGAAAATGAAGATAAAAAGTGTCGTTTTTGTATTAGTAATATGAAATTTGAATTGTTTATATAGTGAGGTTGATGAGGAAAAAAACAAAATTGAATAGTGTTTTGGGGTCATTTTTAAAAAGGCTCAAATTTTGGGGTTAAAATGTAATTTTCAAATTTTATAGGGTTATTTCTGTCATATCCCCTCTTTTATTCCATGTAACTAAAGACCATTGAATTTCGTATCACATGATTCTTTCTTTTTTTAGTATATTTCTAGAACACGCTATTATCATAAATTTCTATATTAAACAAACGTAAACGTCTTTAATTTTTTTTATTGTACTTCTCGAATTCTTGGGTTGGTAAGTTAAAAAGCATGTTTTTAATATTAAGATCACATAAAGTTATATATTTATAAAAGACCCGTCACACATTATTTCAATTATAACATATGCTACGACTTTAATATTGTGACGTAGTACGAATCTAAGAGTTAATAGGATCTATTACGGATAAATGAAGAAAAAGGAAACGGTTTTAAAAGAAACCCAATTGTCCTTAGAATGTTGTAGTAAAAACGAGAAATAGTGTTTTACATGGCCAACCATGTGACTTAGGAGCCGTTTGCTTAAATGTTTACCCGGTAAGCATTTAGCGTCAGGAGTCAACACTACGATTTATTTTACCAGGTAAGATTATAGTATATCAAAATGATATCGTATGCAACAATTTACCCGATAAACACGTACCCGAGTAATCAGGTAAGTTATAAATAGGATTTTTGTAAGTCTTAGGAAATCAGTTTATTAACACAAACAGGAAAACAAACTTCTCTTAAATAATCATTTAAATATTATATTACAACTAATTATCCAATACTTGTCTATATTTAAGCATAAAAAAACAGGTTCTAATCTCAAGATCATTTCATTTCCATCGTCGATCGATCGTAGGCGGAGATGCAACAACAAGAAGTTTAGTGTATCTACGGTACCTCCTTTCGCGGACATACAAAATCCATAAAACCAACGAAAGCGTGACAGCAGTCGATGCAATTGCTAAACCAATGTAGATCCATTCGCTGTATTTGTTAAGATTCGGACAATGATCCTTATGAATTCCGATAAAAGTCTCTCTAACGAAGCTACAGTCCAGTAACCCTGCTAGAAACGGACCATATTCGGTCAATCCATCGCTCACGTTCACTGCAATCGACATCTGTTTATACATCTTTGGAGTCAACCGCCCGACGCTTGCGCATGTATCATTTGCAGAAACTTGACAAACATAATTCCTCCACACCTGTTGATAATACATACATATATCACTACAATAAAATCTGTTTTTATATGATGTCAAATATGCAATACACCCAAATTGAGTTTATAAGACGCCACAAAGTGTTTTGACATGCTAATTTATAGAACCAAACATATATGTCCTATGTAAGAGTGTTGTAAAAGGTTTATATGACGATTTAGACGTCTTAATGAGTTTTTAGGACACTTTTGAAATAAAGCGTCATATTAAATTTTTGAGTGAACTACAAATTTGATCCATGTGGTTTTTTAAAAATAACACTTTTCGTTCCTGCAATTTCAAAATTATAAGATGGCCATCGTGGTTTTAAAAAAGTCAGGATTTGGTCATTTCTTTAATGATCATTAACAAATTCGTTAAATGAAGGACATTTTTTCTTCTTCATTTTATCATTTTTTGTCTTGTACCCAATTAAAACTGATTATGATTTTGGTCTCTATGGTTTTTGATTGGGTAAAAGACAAATAAAATGGTAAAATGACAAAATATCTCTCATTTAACATAATTTGTTAACGGTCGTTAGAGGGAAAAACCAAATTTGAATGTTTTTGCAAACCACAATGACCATTTTGTAATTTCAAAACTACAGAGATAAAAAAACGTTATTTTCAACAAACCACAAGGACTAAATTTGTAGTTTACTCTAAACTTTTTATATTACATTATTTAAAAAAATCTCATATTAGTTTTTATGACATTTGAAAACTTGTATCATATAAAAAAAAAAAATTAATAAGACATTTTATTTTAAAAATGTCATAAAAACAATTTAAAATTAAAAATATCCTATAAACCTATTGCAATGCTTGACATCTGTTTGTCCCTATAAACTTAAGTTCTATGAAATAGTTTATAAGGACACTTACACAGGTTTCTGTTGTCCTATAAACCCAATTTTGTTGTAGCGACACCTCAATCCAAATAAACTGTTTTATATGACTCAGTTTTAAAGAATAAGTCCTATATAAAATAGAATGTTGTATGGCGTATTTAGGCATTCTAAAAAGTTATTTTATATGATAATTTTGAGCACATGTTTTTACATAGCAAGAACCATTAGATTCTTGAATAAAAGCGTCATATCAACTTAGTATAACTAATATAGAAATAGACATATTTGGAGTTATATAGATTGTCGTTACCCTGGTTGCGTTATCGAAGTTGAGTTCAGCCGCTTGACATTTTCGATCTGTTCCGTTAGCGTTTAGCGGATTACAAAGCGTGGGAACCAACGGACCTGATTGATTGAAGCTAACGAAACTGGCAAACGGTTGTTCAACAGGATCGATGTTGGAGATGTTGTTAATGATGCTATTCACCATCACCACCAATTGAAAAGTGATGTTTTTGCTCTGAGATAACGTTTCTTGAGCAGTTGCATCGTCCACACAGGGAAGAATATCATCTAAAGCCGTATGAGCCGTCGGATTTTCAACCCACTCGTCCATCGCGATACAAGTGTCGCCCGCAATGCTACCACCACCATGGATAGTGACTGTAGTTAGCTTCCAATGGAAGGATACACCACAATAAATTGAATTTATAGGACGTAAAATACATCTAAATGTCATAATAGATAGCTTTATAGGACCTCTATAAATTTATAGAACCAAACGGTTGTGAATCTCATATAAAACGTTACAATAAGTTGATAAGATGGCATTGGACATTGTATTAAGTATGTTAAAACACTTTCGAAAATAATATGTATATAGACTTGGGATCATATGAGACCAGACTGTTTTCATGAGACTCGCTAGACCACATAAATAACACTGAACCTTCACGGTAAAACACTGGTTAGTTTTGCTTTGAAGTTTCAGTGTTATTTTGTAGTCTCACGAAAACAAGTTGGTCTCACGCTTGATCACCTTTAATCTCAAAACCCACCCATGAATCGCCTTGATACGGGGATTGATCCGATACATCTCATCGTAATATGTATATAACGGTGGAGATTCCTTTTTACGCTTCAATATTTATATATATATATATATATATTAGAATATTTGAATATATTTGACGTCCAATAAAACCGGTTTAAATCGTAAAGACGTAGCTAGAACATACTTGTGGAGTGCAAGAAATATGCCACACAAGATGAAGGTAGCTGTAACAAGAATCCAACCTAGAACCACCAAGCTGCAAGCACCAATTTAGATTAAGAAAACAAAAGGGTAAGATCTTGATCACATAAAACGAAATCACCTGATCGAGCAAGCTCGATGTGTTCCATGTGATTGACAGATATGTACGGGGTATCAGATTTACATTCACGGTCTAATAGTGAGAGTAAGATGTACACAGACCTGAACTCTACCTTAAAAAGGTAAAATCTTGATTACATAAAAACTGTGCTAAAATGCAGTACTCATTTTGATCACTCACATGTACACAAAAACCTCCAATCCAAGAAGAGAGAACACTGCAACCAACATTCAAGAATCAAATGTGAGTCTGGAGTTATGTGCTATTTACCAAACGCTTACCGGATAAGTGCTTACTGGGTGTCATTTGTCTTACCGAGTGAGCACGACAAGGACTGAGAATCTTAAACGGAAAAACGCATAACAAGGACCTGGTCATCTTACCTTGTAAGTGAGAAAGAAGACTTTTACCCAAGTAGCGCTTACCGGGTAAGAGACACTTATCAACAATCCATTTTGATGGCCAAGAATGTTAACCCGACAAGGCAAGTAAGAATGATAACTCTTGTCGATAAGCGCTTACCCAGTAAATGTTTGGTAAACGACACCTAATTAAATCTCAAAGAAAAAGATTGGATCTTTAGGCTTACAAAAACCAAGAAGAGCCACAAGAAGCATAACAGCAGCAATGATAATAAGAGCAAGCCTTCTGCATATAACAAATTTAAGACATAAGAATCAACATAAAACGTTGAACGATAAACAACATCATTCGATCACTTACACGGCCTTCAAAACCCGTTGTATATCTTTCTCATTCTTTCTGGTCTCGAATCGGAGGTCTCTTGCAGCAGCATCGATCATTTTATGGACCCTATCGATGTCGTTTTTGCTATCTGACGGCAAAGAAACTTGATCTACTTCAATGCCCTTGGCTACAGAAAGAATAGCAGACACATTGTTGAGGTGTGAAACCGTATCGTTGGATTGACTCACGACATAATCCAACGTGTCCGTTGTGCTATTATGAAACCTCCCTTGCCCTGTGTACAAGACGATGCATCCAACACTGGAATTGAACACACGTTATACCGACGATGAGAGCCTCAACCACACATACGTATCCACATGTCGCTATAACAAAATCAGCTTTATAGGACGTCAAATATATCAGATGGACACTTTTGAACATCCTAAATCTTTTTAAGACACTTTTTGATATAAAATGTTATATTAGTTTTTTTATCTGACACTTTTGAAAAGTATTCCGGTACAAGACAATTTTTTTTTAAATAAAGCCATATTAAAAAAATGATGCTTAATTTCAAAAGTATCTTAAAACTTATTACGACTCCTTAAAAGCGTCATATAAACATAGTACACACAATTATTTGATCCTATAAATTTAAGTCACAACAGAACATTTAGACATATTTGGCGTTATATATAAAGCCGATTTTACTGTAATGTGTATCCATAAAGAGTATCTCACATTGCGGAAATAGTGAAGAGGGAGAGAAAACCGAGAGAAAGTGCATAAGCGGTTTGCGAATAGCCATAAGGGCGTCTTCGGAAGCAGCAGTAGCAGCAACAGCTTAGGAGCAAAGATACACCAAATCCTGCAAACCAGATTACCGCAATGGCGAACAAGGGGGCAGCAGTAAACGATACAGACTGCGTAAAAATCATATCGTTAGAAGTCGGAACATCTTTAATATATATAGGGTTGGGTTCACGTGAGACCAAATGTTTTTCGTGAGACCCGTAAGACCAATTTATGTTCATTGATCAACTTTACAAGCTAATGATCTAATAGTCTAAAATTGCATGGTGACAATTTTGTGATTATGAATGTTCAGATTGTAAATCTAATCCAAGGGTTGAGAATTGGTTTTACGGGTCTCATGAAAAAACCCTCTCTCTCTCTCTATATATATATAAGTCAAACAATCTTGAATGCCTGCATTTAGTATAATAAACTGAAGAGAGAAGAAGAAACAAATGTGCATCTCGAACGTGGAGGGATATCGTCTTTCACCAAAGTCAAACAATACAATATATCGAAATTAAATCACAACAAAATCAGATTTATAAGACGTAAAAAATACATAATTAATATTTATAAGACCAAACTGTAAAACGTACCATTTAAATGCTACGATCAGTTTATAAAGTGGTTTTTTGGGCATGTTAACAAATTTGTTAGAACATTTTTAAGATAAAATGTAGCATTCACTATTTTATATGACACTTTTTCAAACAGTGTCTTTTATGATATTTTATTTTAAAAATGACCTAAAAAACTTATTAAAACATTTAAAAACGTCATATAAACTTATTACGACATTCTTGAATTATAGACAGTTTATCGTTTTGTCCAACAAACTTATCACATGTAAAGCGATGTAACAGGAAACTTAAACGTCGTCTTAACTCCTATAACCCCGGTGTTGTTGTAGTGCTTGGAAGCAATGTAAAACCCATTTCAATCTTGAAGTTAAAATCAACCATTTTGACATCCAAAACAAGATGTATGCAAATCAAGAACATAACTTACAGAAATGTAATGGTCATCACTGACATTCCATCCGCGAGTGTAGTACTTGAAATCGTCCCTCGGATCTTTCCTTCGTGTTCTCTTATCGGCCAATATCAACGACGAGTTGCCATCGTTGCTCCCCTTTTCAAGAACAACCCGTTCAATTTCCCGACCACCACCACCACCGGACCTGCCACTAATCACCCCTACCAAATCCCCAAAACCCCCTATCAAATCCCAGAATTCGAGTGAAAATAAGACGAAAAAACAACACTTTACCTGAAGATTGTTGAAGAATCTGAGAAGATCCATGGGTTAACAACGTAAAGAAGACGGGTAACAGCAGAAATAAGAGTGATTTGGGAGAAATCATGATGGTTTTTGGGTGATTTATGATGGGTTTGTATGCATTTGAAACACAAGTAAAAGAGAGGAAGATGATTTAGAAAGAATGAAGGTAAGAGAGGTGGATTAATGGCGTAGAAATGGTCGCATGAACCATGTTCGAATGTGGGTGTTTTTTTAATGTTTAAAGGCCGACCCTTGAGAGGGATTTTCATGTTTGGTAATAAGAAACTCGATCGGCACCAAGAATCAAACACAAGAGTTAAAATTAAATTAATCGAAAAAAAGAGACAAATTACATGAAAAAGTAACGTACTTTAACTTGATTCCTATTTTGGGTAACGTACTTTCAACACTTTCATTTTGGTATCCAATATGTAAGGTTTTAAACATTTAAGTACCCGAGTAACCGTTTGAAGACTAATTTTAGATTAAAAAAAAGACTAATGTTAGATTAAAAACTTTCCATGTTACTAAACTAACCACGTTAGCAAATAATACTGAGTTGGATAACACATCATTCGTCATATCAGCATGATAATCGGTAAATGCTTCAACCGGTTACCCGAGTACTTAAATGTTTAAAATTTTACATCTTAGGTATCAAAATAAAAGTTTTAAAATAAAGGCTTCCAATTAATGTGCAAAATAGCCCAATTAGATACCCTATTTAATCTTTAATAAACCCATATACAAGAGCCCAATGAACTACTGATGTAAAGTGTAAACCGAAGGATGATGAACCTAACAATATCGCTAAGACTCAACTAGCGATATTGATGGCACTTACTCATAATTTGACAATGATGATAAATCCGACATTGAGGCGCTTGTTAGACTTCAAACCAAATGAACAGTTTTGTAGGAATATATTGATGTATTTTTAAATGTATTTAATTAAAGTCCAAATGTAAACCGAATGCAAAATCGATTTTAAAACAAAATTATAATATTTTAAAACATTCTTAAAAAAATAATTTTTATATGGTAAAAATCGATTTAAATTTTTTTACAAACCATAAAGATCGGGCCTTGGTATTTTGGTCGAACCAAGACCGTTTATGTTGGGACTGATTTTTAACCATCTGTAATCATAATCATGAATAGATAATCAAAATGGGATGAGACCGATAAAGCCCGATAGGGACTGGATTATCAATAAAGGCCCATTAACAAGTTACGGAAAAATGTGATGCCTAGCCTGGGATCGGAACCGATTATAAATGGAACTAATATTTTTTTTTTCAATTTTCTCAAACAAGTGTAATATTTAAGGAAAAAGTCCATAAAAGCCTAATGATTTTTTATGTTTTCTCAAATAGATTCTTATTGCTTAAGAAAGTTACCTATAACCTGTTTAATCGGTAAAAATTAGAATTAAAAAAACATAAATAAATAATTCCTAAAAAATTACACTGTTAAACCCTAACTGATCAACATCGTGTTCCCTTCACCCCCAAATGACCACCACCCAGCCCCGTCGTTGTCCCCATCACCCCAACCCTCGTTGTCGTCGTCCCACCCAGCCCTGTTTCCTTCGTCGTCCCACTCAGCCTCATCGTTGTCATACTCGTCTTCTCGACCCTGAACGACACATTGAACTCTTTCTATGTCTCTAGTTCAATTATCTGTTACTCGACCTTGAACGACACAAGTTGTTCTATGACTTGATTGCATTTACCTTGAGACTACATTATTTATGAGTTATGCATTCATTAAGAAAAATTGTTTGTTTACAGGATGACATCCGGGTGTAGTGATGACCTTGTTATGACATAAGTGATGATTTACGTGAACAAATGTCAGATTCTTTAGTAGAAAATCAAAGGTATGCTTATTTATGATGGTAATTTTATTACGTATGCTTATCTATGATGGTAATATGATCTTGTATGCTAATGTATTTTTTTTTTCGCATGTAGATATTGATGTGTTATCCTTAATGGTGGGAATGTGCTTGGAATACGAAATGGTTATGAGGAGTGGTGGTAGATTTAGATGCTAGAAAATGCAGTTGTAGACTGTGGGACGTAATGTAAGAATGAGAAGAAAGTCCTGGCATTATGCCCGTTTCCAACCACTTGAGATTGGGACCGGGTTAGGAACAAGACCGGTGGGGAGCCATTTTTCGCCATCATGTAATAAAATATTTCCGTTACTCATATACTTGGTGCAGATTATAATAAGAAACCTTTAACAAAGTGGTTAAGTCGAGGAAGTAATTTAAGGGGTTGTTTACTAGTGCTAACTCGCTAACAGGGTAAGCATTTACAGAGTAAGATTGTTGGTAAACATATCTTACCTACTACATGTTAATTAAGTAAGAGTTATCATTATCACTTACTAGGTAAGATTGTCGGTCTTTGCCATGCTTATTAGGAAAATAAGTAACCGCGTGAGTGTTTACCCAATTAGTTATTTTTATAATATTTAAAATATTATAAAAATATAAAATATAGTTAGAATAATCATTAATTTAAAATATAGTTAGGATAATCATTAATTTCTGATATAATATTTAATTATCATTTTTATAAAAAATTATATTATTAAACTAAAAATAAATTACTTCATTATTAAGCCTAAGTTAAATTATAATAAGAACATTGAATTAATGAAATTACACAAAAAAACTTGAACTTTTAAATAATTAATTTGATACTAATATCAATATATATATTTTAAAAATTTTATGATATCTTCAAATTTATATTATTCAAAAATAAAAACATTATCGTTTTCTAAAACCACATAAAACGGTATTATAACATCGACAAAGACAAATAATAAAAAGAAACATTAAAATCGAGATGCATCTCGCTACATTGTGCCAGTACCCTTCTAATTTTCTATAATATAGAAGGTTTGTTTGGTTTTAGCATACATACATACATACATACATACATACATACATACATACATACATATATATATATAGAGGAGCGATCAAATGAAAACCACTCCAATTTGTAAAAACCGTAAAAACTACTCTCATCCGTCGTTAATCTTATGAAATTTTTTCATGAAATTGTTAATCTTGTGAAATTGTTTCATATA